GGCGGGGCCACACGAGTCTGGGTGTTCTGTGTCCCGCGCGGGGGCTTCCGGGCTGGCGCGGGGACTTACGACGAGCAGAAGGAGGTTCCTACCGCGGCCGTGAACTTCCGTTTCTCCCGGTATTCCCAGCTCTGCGGCCAATCCCGGGAACGCGGGGTTCCGAGAACGGCATCCTGGAAGCGTCCAGGTTGCTCAGGCGACGTGTGATCACCGAGGGGCCCCTAAACCCTCTGAGTCCCGAGGCGTGAGAATCCCAAAGCAACACGGAGAGACTTGGGGACTGTGCGCGCATGTGTGCAAACTGGTTTTTGTTTTGGATCGGGCTGGGTGCGGGAATCGATTGCGCGTTTTGGGGCCGAGGTCCGCGGACCTAGCCCTCAGCTGGAAGGGCAGTAAGGGAGACAGACACATGCAAGAATAGTTAAATTAGTAGTGTTTGCCAGAGGAAGGAAAGTCAGCACAAATCCGTTGAGTTTCTCATCTATCAAATGAGGGCGTCCCAAGCGTGCAATTCTGCCTGTGTGTATATGCATATTAGATTTCCAGATTTATTGAAAAAGAGAATTATGATGAGGCCCCAAAGAGTTTTTAAAGCAACTAAACTTGGCGTCTATAAACACTCTTCCAGCACTGGCATTTTATGGTTACAAAGGGGTCAGCTTTCAGAGGAAGTTCAGACCACCACAAGCAAATAAAGTGATATTTAAGGGGGGGAAAAACCTTAAAAGTGAGCTCAGCTACAACAAATTCGTTTTCAAAAATGAGTTTTTCCTTTAAAAATCATAAATACATAGTGTTTGCTGTATTTGCAACTACCCTTTCCACCACCGCAAGATGAATTACTAGAGTACATCCCAGTAGTATTTAGGCCCGTTGACCTTTTTTCTTCAAATTTGTTTTTACAATTGGATAGTAGCACTTTTTCCCCAGTTAAAGTTATACATGAAGCAAAATCTGGATTTGTATAAGACCTACATATAGTATATCTATCTGGGAAAAGATTATATACTTTAAAGCAAGATTTCTTTAAGGAAGCGAGTGAAAATATCTTCCTCTTTAAAGTCAGGCAAGGCCGAGCATGTAACTCAAGGCACAGCACCTGCCTGGCAAGCACAAGGCCCTACATTCAAATCCTGGTACCCCCCCATCCCCCACAAAAAGGCCAGGCGTGGTGGCACATGCCTGTCCATGTCTACCTGAGCTAACTTAGTTGTGTGACCCAGAGCCAGTTGCTGAGTTTCCATCTGGGTTGAAACGGCAATACTATACTTTTTTTTTTCCCTGTGGTTCAGGCTGGCCTTGAACTCACTATGCAACCCTCTCTGGCCTTGAACTCCTCCCAACGGTCTTCTTGCCTCTGCCTCTGGAGTGCTGAGATTACAGGGGTGCGTCACCATGCCCAGCGGCAATACTGTACTTTTGCCTGCCTGTTTTGCTAGATGGTGAAAATTAAAACACGAGTCAAGGCCCTAAGTAGGGGATAGAGCATGTAGATGACTATTTAACAAGTGTTAATTTTTTCTAATTACAGATGGGTTCACTATCATGTCATTTTTCTCAGTGACTATTTTCAGGAGTACATCTATTGGGTTCAGCAACATTCAATAATATATAATTTTCTGTGTGTTTGTTTTCATTTTCTTCCCACACACTTCTAGCTTTTGTTTTTTGTTTTTTTCTTTTAGCATTTGAAATGGGGCAAAGTTCCATAGCAGGACGTCTGGCGGTGCTGGTGGTGGTTAGAAACTGAATGTTTAGTGTTAATGATGAGTAATAGTTACATTGAGTAATAGTTTTGGTGTCTGAATTCTGTATGAAGTCAGAAGAGTAACATTTCTGGTTTCTGAATTCATAAAGGAACCCTTTGAACCTTTACCTCCATTTTTCTTGCCTGCCTGCCTGCCTTCCTCCCTCCCTTCACCCTTCCAATATCTCCACAAGGCATAAATGTAAAATCTTTCAAGTTGTGTAGGTGCCCATGTTAGTATACAGAGGTTGCCATTATGTATGATATGTGCACATTGTTAGTAAACTAGGAATAAAAACAGATTTTTCTGACTCTAGCCATTCTGTTCCTTTTTGGTCTCCTGACTCCGAGTACTATTGATAACATATACTTACATAGAACACTTAGTACCTTATTTGGTAAGCTATGTTCTAGGTGCTTCTACATATATTAAGTTTTTATGATAACCACACAGAGATAAACTCTCTTGCCCAGACCTATAGCTATTAAATAACAGGGATTTGAAATCAGTCCAACTCCCAAATCAGTATTGTTACTAATCACTGCTATACTGAAATTAAATTTATATGTAGCTCAAACTGCTTAAATTTTGTTTTCTATTTAAAAAGTTAGATTAAAAACATTTTAAAAATTTAAGTTCAGTTTTTCTGGCAAGTAAAGCCTATTTTTCTAATTATTTAGGTTTTCTTTCATTGGCTGCTTATTTTATTTTTTAAAAAAGCTTTTGATTCCTATAGGCATGAGACCCACTTGTCCTGAAATCATTTTGAGGCAAGAAGTTTTGAAAGATGGTTTTCACAGGTAAGCTGTACATTGATTTCCACTTAAAAATACTGTCGTATAATTTAGAGCAAAAACTGATACTTGGAGAATGGATAAATTGAAAAGTCATTTGCTTTCTTAAAATTTTGGGGTTTGCTTTTGCTTTTTGAGACAGGGTCTCCTTATGTAGTTCAGGCTTGCCTTGAACTCACTTTGTAGCCCAGGTTGGCCTCAGATTCTATCCTCTTGTCTTGGCCTCTCAAGTCCTGGGATTACTGGTGTGTACCACCACACCCAGCACTCTTTAAAAGTTTATCAGTGATAGATTTATCGTATGTGAGTCACACTTTGAAATACAGTGGTACCTCAGTTCAGGAATGTGTTTGTTTGCAAACAATCTGGTTCACAAACAGAAGCAGTTGGCAAAATTTGTTTATTGGATGATAAATGCAACTTGACCTAAGTCATCTTTCCCACAGAAGTGCAGATCTTTTCCAAAACTGTAGAACAAGTTTAAGTTTGCGAACCAAGGTACCACTGTAGTGATTAAAATAACAATGGGGAGAAGGAAGCATTTACTGTTTATCATATGTAATTTTATATATACAATATTCCTAATCTTCACAATGGCTGTGAGACATGAAATTTTCTTGTTTTTAGGTGAAAGAACTGTGGCTCAGAGAATTTAAATGATTTGGTAGAAGTTACTTCATTGATTCATTCTTTGTTATTTCCTTCCTTTTTACTGAGTTTAATTTCCTTTTCTTAGTTTTTTTAATAGTTGATTTAGACATTTTTCTGTAGTATATTTGCATTTGCGACTAGTTGTTTCCCTCCTAGTATCGTATAAGTTTTAATGTATTTGTTTTCATTTACTTCAACATATTTCCTAGTGTTCTTTATGGTTTCATTGACCCTTGACATACCCTGAGTGATTTCAGTCCTTTTAAACTAGATCTTTCATCACCCAGCATATGGTTTTTCTTGCACAGTTAAAGCTTTTTCTTTAGTAGAATAGTCTATGAATGTCTGGTAGGTCAATTTGATTGTAATGCTTTTCATGCCTTCTCTCTCTCTCTCTCTCTCTCTCTCTCTCTCTCTCTCTCTCT